TCTTTGCAACTTCAGGGATCTTATCTATGCACAATCAGCTTGTAACACTCCAAAGAGAAAGGAAAACTTGAAATCAAATCATATGACCCCTTTAAGCGACATACACCGGTATTGCGGTATTTTAAAAATTCATATCATAACAAAAATAAACACCGGTATTTGGTATGAACCGGTATACCGCCCAGCACTATCTTTAGTTATCTTTCTTGCTGTGAATGGGCCTTAACAGTAGCAAAAAATGAGTAACAAAAACTCACATTGTTTGATGATGGTCAGAATGTGTGTAACTGCAGCCCATTGTGTGATACTATCGATGACCTCTGACTCAATGGAGGAGCTTATTTCAGACAGAAAAAACCTAGAACATACCAGAAAATGAATCAGAAGTGTTCAATAGTATAAACAAAGGCTTTTAGTTTTAGCTGTTGTTTAATGTTACATGGTAACAGCAGGTGATTTGAGCGTCACTTTGAGTATGGTGTTCGAGAGAGGTGGAAGGTCATTAACCGTCTCTGGAGTCAACATCTCTTCCACATGAGAGATCTGCATGAAGAAACATCAAATTGTTGCTTTCTACAGTACATTTATTCTTCCATGCCTCAGTGTCTCAATTCGTTTCTTTTATACATTAACTTATTTTTATACATGGCTTTAGCCAACTTTCCCACATTGCTTACGGTTTAATTTTGTCTCAAGAACAAAATATTTCTTATTTACATCACTCATTCAAAAAAAGACATCCGAGTAAAAAGAAACGCTTTGAGCTCAACAAATGTTTCAATTAAACAGACAAAGGAGAAATGCCACACAAACATCACAAAACATAAAAACAAAAAACTAAAATTAGTGGATTTACCTTCTGCAAAGTGCGGCTGATATCAATAATAACTGCTGCAGAGAGTGATGAGAAGACTCCTGTGATGAACTCGGACCTCTCAGTTGTAAACTTAGTCACCAGTAAGAAGTCATAAAGAGCTTCTTCAGAAGAGCAACACAGCTAAAGATACATAAAGAAAGGCTTTTTTAAAAGAAAGAGTCCGAAAGAAATGTTGTCAGGTAGAAATTTCAGTCAAATTTTTACAATACTAAATTGAGTTTAAATATGTACACAGGGTTGTTAAACACATTCAGAATCATCCAGAAATGGAATGGAAGTGTATTTAAAGAAGGCCCTAATGTCTCTTTTCAAAGGCCTCACCTCCTGACCCTCTTCCTTGTCTTTACGTAGTCTATGCGCTATGATCTCCACAACTTTCTGGAAGATGTTGGTCAAAATGCGGATAGTGAGGGACGATTGATCTTCCTGTGTCTCAGCCTTATGGGAAAGGCAGCCCTGTGCCACCTCAGTAAGCAGAGCGAGCACATGAGGGGTGCACATGTATCCTTTCTCTAAATGAACCCACATACACACACACAAAATTGTATTAAAAGCACTACTCTATACAATGCTGTGACGTCAAAACCCAGAAGACTAATTCGCCTAGGGGTCCCTTGAGATTTTCCTATGGGTTTATATAATGGGGTTTTTCAATTTATGAATAAAACAAAGTCTGTGGTAAATATAAATCGACAATGCTTGAACGTTTTGCTCTACAATGTAAATTACACATAGCCATACTAAAAGTGCAAATTTTAAAGCAGTTATGTTAATTTTAGTGCTGGGCAACGATTACATTTTTTTTTAAATCGTGATTAATCGCATGACTTTTCTGCAATTAACCGCGATTAATCGCATCGCTATGCACACAATTCAATAATGAATTCAAAAGTAGTGTATTCCTCACTTTTATTTTAAAAGTACTGCTGTATGAACAAAAGTGCAATAACATTTGTTTGGAAACACATTAAACGAGTAATGTGCTTTTTTACAGCAGTATTCCCTTTACATAGTAGCAGTTAAAATATTTTTTTGTAAATCTCAGCTTAAACAATGCACTCAAATTAAAATCTCCTTTTCATACAACTTGTGTATTCTTTTTGTGATGGAGCGTCTTGAGGGAGGCTCATACGTGCCATCATTCGTTGCGATCCTAAGAACGTTTGCCTGTTTTTGACGGATGCCACGCCCAAACCGGACAGTAGATACAAAATAAAAGTAATCCTGTCACTTAAAAAAAAAAAAAAAAAAAATCACCTACTATCCCAATACGTATTTATATACACACAGCTACAAATCTTTTATCCTTGTCGTTCATAACTGGACTTTTCAGTGTATTAACTTTGTAGTCTACAGCACAACAAAGTAGCACATAGCAATAAATACAACTATAAACAGAATTAAACGGGACAGAACATAAACATTTAGCCAACTTAGCCATGTTAGAACAAATAATCAAGTCAAACAACGTCGGACAGGCAAATCACGTGGTCCCGCGAATCCTGTCACTTCACTTCTGAAATGCTCCCGGTGTGAGTTGGCACCGCATGGAGGACGGAACAAAACCTCGTCGGAGCCGTAACGCGCCGCAGATGCGTGCAGTGTAAATAAGGGGTTGCACCATGTCTACACTGGACACGACAAAGCGGCCGTCGCAAATCATTTGAATTTTGTGTCAGTACATCATAGATAGAACAAGGCAGCAGTTTACTGTCGGGGATTTGTCATGTCGCGCCGCATCCAGTGTAGACAGCATCACCGCTCGCGTCCGGTGTAGACACGGTGTTAGGCCCAAATGCTCTCATTGGTTGAGACGCATGATGACACCCATCCCAAACCAGTATTGATCAACATCCCACCACTCCTGTGATGACCCATGGTTTGTCTGTATGTGTATTCAGAGCCAGTGA